CGAAACAATTTTTCGCCCCTAAAATCCATTATTTTTAGCGAAGCATGAGCAATTTTTGAGCTATAAATGAGCAATTTGAGCCCCAAAATAAAGCTTTCAAAGCCACAGAAATGACCCATGTTTGTCTCAAAATGCATCAAATGCCGAGCTGAGAATGAGCAATTCTAGGTTCTGAAATAAGCAATCTTTTCATCCGAAAAGTTTTTTGTTTTTTTTTTTGAGCTTAAAATTTAAGGAATTTCAGCTCGAAAATCCCTCAGTTTTGGCCGCTGAAAATCCCTCATTTTGATCGAAAATTGGGCAATTTTAAGTGATTGTTAGCTGAAAAAATAATTCGTCAGTTGTAAGCTCAAAAAGCTGAGCTATTTTAGCCAAAAAATGAGCTATTTTAGGCTGAAAATTCGTCTATTTTCACTCTAACCATCGGTTTTTGAGCCTAAAATGAGCTAATTTTCGATTTTCGGTTCGAAATTCAGCGTCGTTTTTAGCTCGAAATTGCTGATTTTTAGTTGAAAATCCATCATTTTTGGCTTAAAATCGTCCATTTTTAGCTCTAAATTCTAAGCTTTTAACTAAAAATTCGCTTTTTTCGGCAAAAAAGCTCAAAATCCTCTATTTACAGCTAAAAATCCACATTTTTTCAGCTTCAAAAATCTTCTATTTTCGGCTTAAAATGTCTCATTTTTGGTTAAGAACCCGCCATTTTTAGCCCACCCCCAAAATACCTCATTTTCAGTGAAAAGTGAGCAATATTTAGCTGAAAATCTCTCATTTTTAGCTCGAAATTGCTGATTTTTAGTTGAAAATCCATCATTTTTGGCTTAAAATCGTCCATTTTTAGCTCTAAATCCTCATTTTTTTTCAACTAAAAATTAGTTTTTCGGACCTAAAATGACGAATTTCAGCTTAAAATCCCCTACTTTTGGCTTAAAATCCTCAAATTTTTGCAGAGATGGGACCGCCGCCTCAAAAAGTACGTGGGTCTATCGGGTAACGAGCCGGCGAACAAGAAGATCCGCACGGAGGACGGCACGTGGCTCCCGGCAAGCTACAAAACTGGAAAATACGAGGAATGGAAGCAGAAGCAGAAGATTGGATTCAAGAAGGACGGTGGAGAGGAGAGTGGAGAGACGCAGCAGACACAGGATTACGGTAGAAAGAGGAAATGGAAGAATGAGGCGGCGAAGAGTGCAGGACCGAAGCACTCGGAGCTCAAGAACAAGGATCAAATTCTTAAGGTAAGAGGCTGAAAATGGCCTGAAATTGGCTTAAAATAGCCTGAAATTGGTCTGAAATTGGGCTAGAATGGCCTGAAAATAGACTAAAATGGTCTGAAATGATCTGGAATTGGTCTAAAATAGTCTAAAAATGCCTGAAATATGTCTCGAATGGTCTAAAAAGGTCTATAATGGCTTGAAATTGACCTGAAAAGACTAAAATTGGCCTAGAATGGTGGCTGGCCTAAATTGGCCTAATTTTGACATGCAAAGGGGTCTAAAGTAGGTCTAAAAATTGTCCAAAATTGGCCTAGAAGAATGGACCTAAAACGATCGAAGATAGTCTGAAATAGGCTTTAAATGGTCTAAAAAGGAGGCCCAAAATGATCTAATATGCCTAAAGATTGTCTGAAATTGTACTAAAACTGGCCTAATTTGGCTTAGAATAACAATAGAATCTTCTGAAATTGATCCGAAATGGGCTTGAAATGGTCTAAAAAGGCCTGAAATGGTCTGAAAATGGCCTAGAAAGGTCAAAGATTGGCCTAACTAGGCTCAAAAGATCTGAAAACGCCTGAAATGTTATGGAATGAGTCTAAAAAAGCCTGAAAATGGTCTGAAAATTATCCAAAATTGGCTTAAAATTGACTTAAAATGGTCTAGAAAGGCCTGAAATGGTCTGAAATTGGTCTAAAAAGGCCGGAAAAAGGTCTGAAATTGGTCTAAAATTGGCTTAAAATTGACTTAAAATGGTCTAGAAAGGCCTGAAATGGTCTGACATTGGTCTAAAATGTGCTTAGAATGGTCTAAAATGGCCTGAAATTGATCTGAAAAGGCCTGAAATTGATCTGAAATGGGTCTAAAAATTGTCCAAAATTGTCATAAAATAGTCTAAAAAAGGCCTGAATTGGTCTAGAATGGTCTGAAATTGATCCAAAAGGCTCTAAAATGTCTAAAAAGGCCTGACAAGGCCTGAAATGGGTCAAAAATTGTCCAAAATGGGCTTAAAATAGGTCTAAAATGCTTTCAACTTGGCCTAAAATGGCATAAAATTGTCTAAAATAGGCCTGAAATGGTCTCAAATTCGGATAAGTCGGCTTAAAATGGTCCAAAACAGCCATTTTTTGACTATTTTCAGTCTTTTTTAGACCATTTTCAGCATATTTGATCCTTGATTGCCCTAAATTACCCCTAATTGCAGTCTATAATTGGCTTAGAATAGTCTAAAATGGGTCGAAAACAGCCATTCTGTGCCTATTTTCAGCCATTTTTAGACCATTTTCAGCATATTTGTCCCTTAATTACCCCTTAATTACCATCTAATTAATTACAGGGTCGCCGTAAACAAGAGAAACTCGAGAACTACATGGAGCACCGTCGTCAGTCGAATCTCAAGAAGAAGGCGATGGGGGGCGCAGTCTCCGGATTCAAAAGGGGCGGAGCTTCGGCGAAAAGGGGCGGAGCCTCGTTTGGCGGTGGAAAAGGAAGAGGAGGAGGCGGCAAATTCAAAAAACGCTAATTTTTGGAATTTTTTTGTTAATTTTTATGATTTTTTGTTGAAGTTTTGTTCGTTTTTTTTAAATGAAATTGTTGATTTTTTGTCTCAAAATCCGGATTTTTTGAGCCAGGTTACTGTAGTTTTTGCAGTGTTTTTCGTATATTTTTGACACCCATTTTTTGTCTTTTTTCAGTCTTTTTCTTCAACTAAAAATTGCAGAAAAATCGCCAGAGATACAGACTGCGCCCGTCTAATATCGTTCCCGATGATGAATCGGATGATTCATACGCAGAGCGAACCGCAAACGTCGTTTGGAGTAAGGAATTGGGGAAATTTTGGCTGAAAATCGGCCAAAAATCGGCCAAAAATGAGCTAAAACCCCTCGAAAATCACTGAAATTGGCTGAAAATGGCTTAAAATCGACTAAAAATGAGCTGAAAATCAGCATTTTCGACGTTTTCAGCTCATTTTTGGTCATTTTCATTTGGAATTTTTCGAAAAAAAGTGGTTTTTTGATGAATTTCGGATCATTTTTATTCGATTTATGAGGTTTTTTAGCACAGTTTTTCAGCAATTTTAATGAGAAAAGTGGCTGAAAATCACAGAAAACAGGCTTAAATATCTCAAAAATCGAAGTAAAATGACCCCCCAAAATCAGTAAAAATATGGTACCTATGGAATCTATGGTACATATGGTACCTATGGTACCTATGGTGTCCGTAGTACTTATGGTACATATGGAATCTATGGTGTCTGTGGTACCTATGGTACATTTGGAATCTATGGTACCTATGGTACCTATGGTGTCCGTAGTACTTATGGTACATATGGAATCTATGGTACCTATGGTACATATGGAATCTATGGTACATATGGAATCTATGGTACATATGGAGTCTATGGTACCTATGGTAGCTATGGTACATATGGCATCTATGGTACATATGGTACATATGGAATCTATGGTATCTATGGTGTCTGTGGTACCTATGGTGTCTTTGGTACCTATAGTATCTTAGGTATCTATGATATCTATGCCCATTTTAAGCCAATTTTAATAATTTTCAGTCGAATCAGCACATGCAACAGCAGCAGCAGTCCCAACCCCAACACAATCAGCACCCGCACCAGAATCAACACGCTCGCCTTATCAATCAAATCATATCACACGCCTATGCACAGGAGCCATTCGATTCATCGTTACTACTTAATAATGGACAGCAGAAGGTGAGGAGACCTGTAATAGAAGGGCATAGAGCTTATTAGCTCCTAAGGGTCTCCTAACTTTAAGCCAATTTATCTAGGTTACTGTAGGAGTTATCAAAAAGTGGTCTACTGATAAATTGTTTATCATGTTATAAGGCATCTTTTATCAGTTGACGGATGTTTGATATCTCTTACAGTAACCCAGATAATTGGGCTTTAAAGTAGGGAGCCCTTATCAGCTAAAATACCATTTTCTGTCCGCCAACTTTGAGCCAGTTTATCTCGGTCCCTGTAAGAGATATCAAAAAGCGGTCTACTGATAAAATGTTCATCACATTATCAGCTATATTTTATCAGTTGACCCCATGTTCATAACTCCTACAGTAACCCAGATAAATTGGCTCCAAAAGTACCGTATTCCAATTTTTGCAGTTCGACTTTCTGCCCAACCTACCAGGAGGCCACCCGAGCCATTTAATGCAAAACGGACTGGCCAACAACAATCAGCAACAGAATCCACGTGGCACCAATAATGGGACAACGACAGTGAAAAAGGCCAAAAAGGGACAGGGACCCGGAAGGAGGCCGGCGCTGGATGCTAATGTAAGCTTTTTTTCTGCATTTTTCTAGGTTTTAGATGGAAATTCAGCTGTTCTAAGTGCCAAAATCGAGATCTACATGAAATTTTAGTCTAGAATCTTCGAAAAAAGTACCGAAAACCGGAGTTTTCGAAGGATTTGGGTTTCTAGGCCACCGTGTGAGAAAAACTCGGCCACATTCAAAAAATCTTTAAAAACTAGGTTTCTAGGCGGAAATTCTGCGAAATACTCGATTCTAGCATTCATTCGGTCTGGAAACGCTGGAAAAAGTTTCAAAAAACCCTATTTTTGGAAGATTTGGGTTTCTAGGCCACCAAAACTCGGCCAGCGTGTTTTTAGCCGTGTCCAGAAGAAATTTCTAGGATTTTTTGTAGTAATTTAGCTATAATAACCCCTTGAGAGCCGCGTTTAGGTTTTTTTCATTGGTGGCCGAGAAATCCAGTTTTCTAGGCCACCAGTTAAAAAACTCGGCCACATTCAAAAATTTCCAAAAAAGTAGCTTTTAGACTTGAATTTTGCGTGGAACTCGATTCTGCCGTTCATGCAGTCTGGAAACGCTGAAAAAAGTTTCAAAAAACTCTATTTTTGCAAATTTTGGGTTTCTAGGTCACCAGTGAGAAAAACTCGGCCTTATTCAAAAAATCCTTAAAAACCAGGTCTCTAGTCCCAAATTTTGCGTAGAACTCGATCCTGCCATTGATTTAGTCTTGGAACGCTGAAAAACGTATGGAAAAACCGATTTCTGACTGAATTTGGGTTTCTAGGCCATCAAAACTCGGCCAGCATGTTTTCAACCGTTTCTAGTACATTTTTTAGGATTTCAAGTATAATCTAGGTGTAGTGAACTCATTATGTAACCTGCTAGCCAGCTTGATTTTCTAGGCCACCAGTGGGAAAACTCGGTCATATTCAAAAAATCCCTGAAAACCGGGTTTCTAGGTCTAAATTTTGTGTAAAACTCGATTCTGGCATCCATTCCAGCCTATATAACCTCGAAACTACCCATTTCGACCTCAAAAAAAGACCAATTTCCAGGGAATGCCCAAAGAGCGACCATTCATCTGCCCGCGGCCCGACTGTGGCAAGCGATTCTGCCGAAACGACCACCTCCAACGACACATGCGGATTCATACGGGCCAACGGATGTTCCAGTGTCAGACGTGTCTCCGTGCGTTCTCCCGGTCCGATCATTTGGCGAAACACGAGAGAACGCACTCGTCGGACAAGCCGTTCAGCTGTCTGACGTGCGCCCTACGGTTTCATAAGCACGAGGAGAAGAAGAAGCACGAGGAGGTGGGTTTTTGGGGGTTTTGGACCTTGAAAATGGCCTAAAAACACCCTGGAATCGGTTCTGGTGGCCTAGAAACCCCTTAAATTGCATTTTCTAGTCCCTCTTGCAAAAATGATCATTTTAGCATCGAAATCTTGATTTTTAGGATACATAGGTCCAAATTTGCAGAAATGATCGTTTTAGCACTAAAAACGATGTAAAAAATGGGTTTTTGGACCTCAACATGGCCTAAAACCCCTGAAATTGGTCCTGGTGGTCTAGAAACCCCCTAGAATGAATTTTCTAGTCCCTATTCAGTTTAGACCGATTTTGGAGGGTTTCTAGCTGAATTTTGACGCAAATTCCGCTCCTGATGGCCTAGAATTGCTTAAAATTGAAGTTTTGGACCTCAGAAATGTCCCAAAACCCCTGAAATTGGTCCCGATGGCCTAGAAATCCCCCCAAGATGCATTTTCTAGTCCCCCTTCGTTTTTTAGAAATGCAAGCATAACGTGGATGATCAGCAGCAACAACAGGTTGGAAATCGACAGCAACAACTGAACCTAATCAGTGGTGGACATAATATGTACCAGAATCCGGTAAGCCTTCTTTGGGCCGCGGCCGACCGCGGCCGGAGTCTTCCATTGTTGTTGTACGGTCGGAATGCGTTGGAATGATCGTTTTTCATTGATTTTGGATAGTTGGTATTGTGTTGTGGTTCGTTTTGTTTACAGTATACCCTTGGTTTCTATCCTTAAATAGCTTAAAATCCCATTTTCTCCCGGAACATCAAATTTCAAAAGGGTTTAAATGCGAAATTCGAATTCCCCGCCTTTTTTACACCTAAATGACCGTTTTTTGAGAGTTTCCAGCGATTTGTGCAATTTGTCGTAAGGTTCGGTGTTTGGCTCGGTGTTTGCACACAATCGGCGCTACAGTAACCCGAAATCTCGAAACTGAGCGTTAGAGACGCGGAAAAGGGGGTTTTAGGGTGGAATTTTGCGGGAGATTCGATTTTAAGCTTAAAAATTGCCAAAAATCAAAATTTGATCAGAAAATAATGATTCCAAAAAATAGAAAATTCGAAAAAAACAGTTTTTGAAATTTTCTTAAAAAGCATTGATTATAGACAGTTTTCATATCAAAATTCGAAATCCGCGCCTATTTTTACCCCTAATACAACCATTTTTGAGCGATTTGTGCAATTTGTCGTAAGGTTCGGTGTTTGGCTCGGTGTTTGCACACAATCGGCGCTACAGTAACCAGAAAACTCGAAATTGAGTGTTAGAGACGCGGAAAAGGGGGTTTTCGGGTGGAATTTCTCGGGAAATTCGATTTTAAGCTTAAAAATTGCCAAAAATCAAAATTTGATCAGAAAATTTTGAAAAATTCAAAATTTCAAAAAAAAATTTTCAATGTTTTTTGTGAAAACCAGCGATTTTCAATGAAAAATTCGAATTTTCTAGTCATTTTTACCGCTAGAAAACGGCCACAACCTCTATCAATTTTCAAAATAAAAAAATCAATAAAAAATCGATAATCCAGACGACGCCATCCGACCGTACTCCTCGATCAAATTATCACAATATTGCAACAACGGATTTCACGCGCATTGTAGATGATATCGAACGCTTTAATGCAATCGCCGAACTCGAGCAACTTGATGATGATTCCGCCATCGACGACGACGGTTCAATTCAATAAAAATCAATCGATTATCGGGAATCAGCAACAAGCTCCGCCCACAAATCCCCTGGAAATTCGATCGCTGATTGCGCAGAATCATTAGGTAATTTGAGCTGAAAATTGACTGAAAACGAATGATAGGGCTCTGAAAGTGGCTGAAAATCGCTTAAAAATGTCCCAAAACGCCCTGAAAATGGGCCCAAACAGTTGAAAAATAAGCTAAAATAGCCTAAAATTGGCTTAAAATGCTCTAAAAAGGCCTAAAATGGCAAACCAGCCTGAAAATGACGTAAAATCGCTTAAAATGGCATTATATTAATTGAAAATGGCCTAAAATGGCCATAAAACGGCCGAAATCGGGCCTAAATTTGCCTAAACTAAGCTTAAATGGTCTAAAATGGCCTCAATTGGCCTGAAATAGCCTGAAAATGGCCTTGAAATAGCCTTAAAACTGCCTTTTTTCAGACCCACACCCACCTACAGTACCCCTACCGTACACCTACAGTAATCCCTCGATCATCATCATCCTGTCCATGTTTATTACCCTTCTAATTAATTTCGTTTAATTAATTTCCATTTTTGACTATATATGTACATTCATAAGCTCCGCCCCCTTTTCCAATGCATCTAACCCCCCCCCCCCCTCCCAACCAGCTACAGTAATCTCCTACAGTAATCCCAATGAGTTATCAAAACGTGTATCATAATCTCTTCCTCTCGCAATTTTCAGATTTTTTTTGGCTGAAATTTTCAGAAAAAAATATTTTTTGGTTTTTTTTTTGGATTTTCAGCCAAAAAAATTTTCGAAAAAAAATTTTTTTCCTGAATTTTTTGGATTTTCAGCCTAAAAATGCTGAAAATTTCAGCAAAAAAAAAAAAATTTTCCCCGAACTACAGTACACCATATCCACTTTTTTCCTTGTTTCATTGCATTTATTATTCCAGAATTCTCGCTTAAAACCACCATTTTGTGCCTTTTTCCAATCAGCTTCTGTACCCGATTTTATTGATTTTTAAAGGATTTTTTGGATTCCAAAAATTCCAAAATTTCAAATTTACTTGTATTTTTCTTTGTCATTTTTCTTTCCTATTCCCAAAAATGTGCATAATTTAAGCTCTTTTTTTTGGGTCCTGAGAGGATAATTTTGGAATTTTTTCAAAAAAAAAATCCAATTTTCAGCCAAAAAAAATCACAAAAATCACTAATTTTTTGTCTGAAATTCTCTAGAAAATTCGAAATTCGCGCCTAAAAATTTCGAAAATTTTCCCCTCAAGACCCATTTTCCACCCCAAATCACATGTATTTTTTCTCTTAAAATGGCATTTTCGTTTCCTCCTGAAAATCAAAAAATCAAAATAATTTTTTTCTCTAAATCTCATCAGCCAAAATCCCCTTCCCAAAAATCAACTTATAATAATTTCACTTAACATTGATTTTCAACTTTTTTTTTGGTTTTTCTGAAATTTTCAGACTTTTTTTTCTGAAAATTTCAATTTATTTGAAAATTCCGTTTAAATATAATACATTTCTAAGAAAAAATTATAAAAAATAGTCTTTTAAAAAGGGGCGGAGACTAGCCCTACAAGCTCCGCCCACAAAAAATTTATAAGAGCATCCCAAAAAAGGCCCTATATAAGGTCTATAAAAGGGCGTTGTGGTTCTTATTTTATTTTTATTAATTTTTTTTAAAATTGTTTTATATTTTTTCCAGAATTTTTCTGCTGCTCTTATCCTCCTTTATTCCTTTTCCCCCATTTTTCTCTGCGTCTCTCTCTCTCTCTCTCTCTCTCTCTCTCTCTCTCTCTCTCTCAATTTCCCCTTTTGCCTGCCCTAAGGCTAAAAAAGGGGGTTTTCATATGGAAAAAAGAAGATTCTGAAGGCTCAGAAGACGTTGAAAAAGACGTCGTCAACAGCAAAAAAAGTTTTTCGTTTTTTCCATTTCATTCAAAAAAAAAGAAGAGAGAAGTGAAATTTTTTATTTCTTTTTCGCTTTTTTTTGGGACTTTTTGAGAATGACGTCATCTGGATGGGCATTCGGAGACCGTTTTTTTTCTGGAAATTGGAGATTTTTATGTCTAAAATTTCAGAAAATCAAAAATTTCAGAAATTCTGAAATCCTGAAATTCCGAATTTCTGAAATCCTGAATTTTTTTCAATTTTTCCGATTTTTTTTCATTTTGTTTAAAACATCAAGTTTTGAGATTTAGTGTCAAATTTCTTCACAAATATTTGTATTTGTCAAAAAGTTTGTTTTCCTCGTGAAAAGAAAAAAAATCCAGAAAAAATTACCGTAAACAGTCTAATACAACGCCACCCGGACCGTCCACTTTAAGCCTATATATCTCACTTCTTTTGAAAGATATCAAAAAGTTGTCAACTGATAAAATGTTTATCATGATATCAGCTACATTTTATCAGTTAACAACTTTTTGATATCTCTTACAGAAAATGGGATATATAGGATCAAATTTGACGCTTCGGGTGGCGTTCTATTAGAGGGTTTACGGTATTTCAGAATATTTCAGACTCTTTTTTAGCCCCTAAGCTTGACGTCTGCATTTTAAATCCTGAGCATTTTCTTGTGCAACTTGATCTGTCCTATGAACAACTGCTCCTCTTTCTCCCCTTTTCTCAATGTGGTCAACTAACTTTTTCTTTTTTTTTTCTTTTTTTTTTTCTTTTTTTTCATCTTGTCCATCAGCAGAGAATTTTGGACAAGATGGGCGCCCCTCAATCTTGGGAGGACCATGGGTCCGACTCTGTTTGGAAATGTGTGAAAAAAGTTTTTTTTGTTTGAAAAAAAATGTCCCACGAGGATTCACTGAATGTTTCATTTTGTTGAATTCCTCCAAAGTGCACCTTTTGGGCCTTTTTCGGATTTTCCGAATTTTGAAAAACTCAGATTTTTTGGTATTTTTCTAGTTTAGAAATACTTTGAAAGCCTATTTTTTTCAGTTATTGGGATTCTTGACATTTTTGAAACATAACAAAAATTCTAAAAATTTGAAAAATTCCATTTTGAAACTCTTCCGTTGTTGTATTCTTAAAATTTTAAATACAATTTTTGTAAATTATGTCAAAACTTTTGGAACTTTTGAACCTTTTTTGAGCCTTTCAGCCTTTTTTTCCTTGTTTTTTTAACTTCCCATTTTGTAAAATTTTCCATTTTTCTGAAATTTTCTAAAATTCTCCCATGAACCCATGGATCCCATAGATCTCACGGATCTCATGGACCCCATAGATACTACGGACCAATGGAGCCATAGAACCCACGGATCCCGTGAATTCCTTGAATTCCATGGACCCAGATGTGTACCTATGGACCCAGGGACCCAGGGACCCAGAACCCGATGGATCTCATGTATCCAGGATCCCATGGATCGAGGACCCCATAGATCCCGTGGATCCCATCGACCCTATGGATTCCATGGACCACATGGATTCAGGAGGCCTAAAACCTAGAAATCCTTCTAAACATAGAGTATTTGGATGTTTGATCCTTAAACTTTACTTCGCACAAAATTTTGAAAAGCTTATTTTTTCGAAATTTTTGAAGTTTTCCAGTTCATTGATCACTGACATAACCACTCAACTTTTTCATTTCAAAAAAAAAATCCTAAATTTTAATC